ATATGCATCTTAAAATGCATATTAATCATCAATATGCCAAATTTACGCATTTTGCAAATATTCATACAAATAGAAATAGAAATCAATTTTCTCAATTTATGTACATGTAGCACATCTTTGATATAATAATTTTATAGGGTTTTTTGAAACACGTACAATTTCAAAATTTCCCACTGGAAGTCATATCATTCCGTAAAATTGCATGAATAGACTACATGTATTAGACTCTTAAAAATAGTAGTCCAAAAATAAATACCTGGGATAGTTCTGGCATTCCATGCATCTATCATATTCTGTATGGAGAGCTTAATCACACGCAGGCAGAACTCAGRTACACAAAACTTGATGATGTTGTCATCCATATCAATAAGGTCTTCATTCTTCAATTCAAGAAGAGCTTTTTTCATGGGATAATTGCATCTCTGATTTATTTYTACCCACACTCTTTCAGCTGTATGGTTCTACACAAAAAAGACAAATTGTTATGAATTAATTAGTGCATGTCCATATACAAGCTAGACTAATTAGGACCATAGAAATATATAATAATACAGTAATTGTGTGCTTTCTTTTCATTATGCATTGTATCTTAATGTTTTTTTTAGTTGTTATATTTCTTTTTAGCTTTTATTTTTATTCGTTTGTTGTTGTTGTTGTTGACATGAGTGTTTTCATTATTTCTTGTTGTCGTTTGTTGTAATTGGGATTCCTGTGRTATACGATTTGGGCTTCCTGTGTTATATGAGTTGACCAATCATAATACCGTATTTCCTCGAATAAGGGCCACCCCCGAATAAGTACCCCCTCCGAAAAGGCGACCACTCTGAGAATTCAAAAATTTAATAAGCGTGAGCAAATACGGTATATAAGTTGGCCAATCATATTGTGAGTACCAATTTAAGATAATTACATGAAAATTTAGAAAAATTCCAAGTTAGTATCATTACTGCCATTTTTGATCAAACGGGAAGCAGGAAACAATCTTTGTGTTTGTTTAGGTTTCAAACGGGACGTTTTGTCAGTTAAACTTTAATTTGTGTTTGACTGAATGAAGTTATCATGTTGTGGGTGGGAATCAATCAGGTTTTGAYGTCGGAATGAGCACATTCTGAACACATGATGATGGTTTTCAGTACCAGTGTAGTTAACTGCAATTTTCCAGTCATTTTCCAGTAGTTTTGTTAGTATA